AAAGTTTAGGACTTTTTCAACACTTTTCCCCGAAAGATTAAATTGTTATATATGTTAGTTATATTCAATAAATGAGCCATAAATTGGTTTATAATTTATTTAAACTCAATGCACCTCTATAAATTTCTTTTCATTGTCTCTCGCCATCACTCAATCTCGTCCTCACGCACTTCACACTCTCACTTCAATTTGGGTATAAATTTTTTTAGATTATATTAAATATAAAAGTGTTTTAGCAATGTGGGTCGGGTCGGGTTGGAATAGATTGATAAACATTTGCTTTGACAGTGGAGGTAAAAATGTGATTTCTTACTAAAAAATCAGATTTAAACAGGAAAAAACAACAATTATGTTAAATTTAACAATCGCCAGTTTACATGCCTTTTGGTTTCTAGAGGATCAACCACAACATGCATAGTTTTGATACAGACCAAAGTGTTTCCTTTCACAATGATACAAGGGTTTCGCTCTCTTATATATATATATATTTTGGTAACCCAGGGAACCCCTACACGACCGACAGCCGGGGGGTAAACCCTGGGGGCGACACGTGCTAGCCACCACACACGTGCCACCGGTTAAGTCACCCTGCGGCGCCCGGGATTCGAACGCTCAACCTTTTGCGAGAGGAAGAGCGCCCGCTCCAGCGACGCCACCCAGGCGGGTGGTGCTCTCTTATATATTTATGTACGCCATATCAACAATTTTCACCTTCATGTACATTTGATGCACGCACATGACGGGTAAATGAGTGACGGAGCCAAAATAAATTTTCACTCGGATAAAGTGAATAGAGGCACAACATATCTTCATTTATAAATAAGTATTGTGATCACAAATTTTTTTATAAAAGCCAACTTCAAAATACAAGTAAAACTACCAAAGATGAGATTTACAAGGAATAATATATAGTTGCATATATCAAAGTATCTAAAAGAAAAATAGACAAATTTAAAGAATACAGCTAAAAGTCATGGGAGTTCTATTCTTCTCTAGTGCAAGCACACAAAGTTAAGTGCACTACTTTCACGTTTCTCCAAATGTTTCAGCATGATAGGCGTCCATCTTTTACTTCATGAAAACGGTCTTTAATTATTCAAGTTTCCCACATATACAAACACTTGAATTCAATATACCAGATCCTAACATTTATGCCATTATTATACATTTTTTTTCCTTTTTTGGGTTTTCTGTTCAAATAGGCATAGGGCCAATTAGGGACGAATGAGGAAGAAAACGACTATAATGACTCGAAGAACAAAATATTCACCGCATGTGAAAAAGTGCAAATAGATCAAGTTTTTTTTTTTTTTTATAATCCGGACTCCCGCACCGGCCGCACTACAAGGGTCCGACCGGCCAGGCACCAACCGGAGGAGAGCTAATCTGGCCCCCACAAACTAGCCTCCATATAAGTCAAGAGTATGATAAGGCTACGCGGCAAATAGATCAAGTTTATCTATGAAGGATTTGACTGAGTGGCCAAATGTCCAATTTTTCATGTGTTATTTTCGTGTTCATAGCATGTCCCAGAAGTATCCTTCACAAAGGCCATGCCCCACCACCAATATTTGAATGGACACCCAGTTAGGCAACCCGAATCAAGATGATCCAGCCATGACAATATTTTTTTTTTCATTTCAAAATTGGCTTCAGCCCCAATGGAAAGTATCTTGAAATCTAGAACTCCGATCTTGTTTGATTTTAACACTGAACGAGCTATTTGCTCTCTTTCCTTAAATCGATTACTAAAATATGGATTGAATCCCCTGGACTAGTAAAGGATTATGAGTAACTCCTACTGTCCATACTAGAAAGAGGTTGCAGCGTCCTCGTAGAAGACAGCTTCAACAAAAAGTTAAGGTCTATGTTGCAATATGAACATGGAAGCTTACCGAGGTCTTGCTATTAAGTCAATGCAAAAATTACCAAAGAAATAAATAAGGAACAATAAAGGACATCAAAGATTTACCTGGTTCGGTCCAAGTGTCGGTACTTACATCCACGGGAAAAGTCAATAGTAAATACTCCACTATAATCGAAGAATCGAAGTGTACAAATGCTCACACGTCTAAGTGTTTCCCACACCTAGATTTTACCCACACCCAAAGTATTTACAAATAAACAATTCACTTGGATGTAAGCTCAAGTATAAAATCATGTATTCGGATCCCTACCTCCGGTGCCTCAAAGGGGTCCTCCAGTCAGCTGTCTTCTATTGTGTGTGCGGCTCTGTTAAAACTATGTCTCGATTTTGAGCCCAAAAAAGAAAGTTTCCTAATTCAAGTATGTTTCCTATTTTGAATAGGTTTCTAAATTGAATGGTTTTCTAGTTGGAAAAAGTTTCCTACTTGAAGAAGGTTTCCTAAAAAAAGATTTCTTAATTTGGATCCAATTCTTGCCAATAAATAAGAAGGGGATGTCATTTGTGAAGATTGTTAAAGAGGAGCTTTTGTTAGGGAATTACACATTGAAGATATCCGAGTGTACTGCAGTCGATTAAATTCTTATGATAAGAATTTGTGTTTAATTCTTTCATGAGACTGAGATATTCTTTCGTGAGGAATTGTGAGTTAAACACTGCGTGAATTATTAGGTGTAATTGGGACTTGGGAAATAATAAGAGTGTTTGAGTGACTCGAGCGTGGTTGTAATCTCCGTTATATCGCTTGATTTATAATGCAAATTCGTATTGCTTTTTCCGTAGACGTAGATCACTACGATCGAACCACGTAAATCTGATATCCGATTTATTTTTTATTCCGTGAAATTTAATGTTCAATGGCATGATTTTCGCAAGAGGCTCGTCTCTTAAGGGACTTCCTCGATCCTTCACTGTGCAGAGCCTTTCACTCGCCGAGGAAACCCCCTGGCGGCTTCACTTCAAAGAAAACAAAGGACGACCTAGAAGAAGACCTATACTTTGTTTTCTTTCCTCTGTTCTTGGCCCCACGCGTAAGCCAAAGTTAAAGTCCTGTGTCTTTTTTCTTTTCAGCAATCAAGAGAAGTCCAAGTCTTGATCTTGTTCAAACTTGGACACTTAGGAAATTGCCCCCTTTCCTCGTCCAATTTGCATCGGGTTTTCTTACACAAGACATATTTTAACAGTTGAGCCGAGTCGAGTCAAAAGCTTTAATTCCTCGTGCTAATAGAAAAAGAAATTGCTAAGCATCGAACTCGGGACTCTCCCAGAAAAAAGATCATTGTATCTCGAAAGGAGGAAGGGATAATGACCCCTCACACAAGGGAAAGAGAAAACAAGGACTTCCGATTCCGTCAATGAAGAGATGAAGTCCTCCTTTCACATTACCGTTCACATGTTGCAGCTAAGAAGCTTGTTCCCCGCATGCACGCAAGCTGATGTCCCAATTCTGCTCTGACGTTTTTTTGTCTGAAAAAAACTTCAACTTTCACTATAATCTCAAATCTACCCACGTGTCCAAAAAATCGCCACTAATTTTTTCAAAATTATCAATTTAGGGTCTATTAGAGTTGTATTATCAGATCTTACGTCTTCATCAACATCCTCAATTTTGTATGGAATAATAACAATCTCTTGATTCAGTAGCACTTTTTAATGTGTGGGCAAATTTGAGATTAGAGTGAAAGTTAGAGATTTTTTTTAGACAGAAAAAAATACAGAAAAATGTTCAGAGCAGAATTGATATTGGACATAAAATTGGGGATTGTTTTGGGAATCAGTCCATTTAAGACAAAATCTGACATCAGCACTTGCATAAAAGATTCTGAAAAATGACGTGGGCACAGAGATTCCAAAAGTCAGTAACAAGTCATTTTTTAGGCCGAGAAAATTGCTAGCTTGCAAACATCTTTTTTCAAATGCATCTTCTCGATGTCCCACCAAAAGTCAATAGCAAGTCATTCTTTAGGTCGAAAAAATCGACAGCAAGTAAATGTTTTTTTAGAGTAAACCTAGCATCCACCACCACACAATCGATCCTAGTTATCCTTGAGTTGTTGGTTTATTGATCGAGTAGGCGATTAAAACCTTCAAATCAGAAAAGTTAAACATAGACTCTGATCCATGTGAAGCAAATCACAGGTCCTGCACTTTCGATGGCTACAAGCCTACGATCATTTTGGTCTGCATAGATTGAGTCTTTATAATATTTCTCCCTGAGATTGAGAGTGGATAAGACCGTTTGTGTAATGTTTTCTTCACACTAACCGCTTCCACTCTAATTTTCCATTTTAATTTGGTCATATAAAAAAAGCTATAAAACGTGACTTAAGGAAATTCTTAGCAAGAAATGGTCAACTAATCGATATTTATCTATAAGTTCACCGTAGAAAAAGTTCCGAAACTCAAGTTAATGCAACACACTCCTGACCACCGAAGCCTAAATAAACCACAAGGATACCTTTTTTCTATTTTCGAAATTTTGAGCATAGACAACGTGGGAAAAAGTATTGCTTCCTTTGTTTCGCGGAAAGACATATTTTTTTGAAAATAATTACTTATATCGCTTACAAAAATGAATGAACGAAAAAAAAATTATTGTCCACGAGAACATTTAAATATAAGTTGTTGTCAATCATCAAAACATTTCTCATTGACTAATTATTAAAAGCTATACAAGCGATCATTTTTAGGAAAATATTTTTCAAATCATTTGTTTTTCGAGAAATAAATGGAGCCTAAGTTTATCAAAATTTTATTGTGTTCTCTAAATTTTGTACCATTTATGGTTTACAATATTTATATCTTAACATCAAGTTACAAGAACTTTCCCTCACCACGTGAGTTTAACCATACTAGTTCATTTGACCTATTGGAAGACCAAATTTCCACCGCTCAATTTCCTTCTATTTTTAAATCGGTCTACTCGTCTTGAACAAAACAGTTGTGAGGTGTTCATACGTGTTCTTCGTTCATTGGAAAAGAAAAATAAGAAACATCTATGAACATGCATGAATGTGAAGACGCTGTTTATCACTCTATATATACTATGAAGGTGCGTCTGTATTGTGCAGAGAGAGAGAGAGAGAGAGAGAGAGAGAGAGAATGGTGGAGGCAGGAACGGGGGGGACGACATTAGAGTTCACGTCGACATGGGTGGTGGCCGTAATTTGTTGTGTGATAGTGCTGATTTCTTTCCTTGTTCACAGGTTTCTTCAATGCGCCGGGCAGGTCCGTTCTTGGTTTCTTTCCTTCTACTGTGATTTCATCACCTTCTGAGATACTCATGATCAATGGTGACCGTGTGACCGACTCTTGTTGAGCGCAGCTCTTGACCAGGCCATACAAGGAACACCGGAGTCTCCGCAGGGGCAGGCGAAAGTATCTCTTCAATGCCTTACAGAAGATTAAAGAAGGTGAGTGCACTTAAAACTGCTAGAGAACAAGACGGGGTCGTATCTTTTTATGTGATATCATACACATGGAATTAATATACATTGGTTCTGTCCAAGGTAAATGTTCTAGGACAAATTTATATGATATCAAAATGTCTTTATAACTTTATGTGATGATTTTTTTTTTGAAAATTTGGCAGAGTTGATGCTGTTGGGGTTCATATCCTTGCTGCTATCTGTGTTCCAGACGAGAATCGGGAAGATTTGCATATCGGAGAGACTTGCCAACGTCTGGCTTCCCTGCCACCTGCCTGCTTACTCTTCTTCCACCACCACTGCCCACTTCTCGACTGATCCCATCGCTTCTGATGGACATCGAGGACGCCGACTCCTCTCCGACACCACTGATTACTGCAGTCAAAAGGTGAGTTGACTCTCTCTCGAACATCATAGTACTGGCAAACAGACATCCACTGGGTGTATTAGCAAAGGATGATTCTATCACATGCTTAAATTAATAGTCCAATGAGTGTGCAAAATATATAATCTTTGTTGCGACATGTTTCAGGGGAAGGTGCCATTGTTATCTCTCACAGCACTTCACCATCTACATATCTTCATATTTGTGCTAGCTTCCTTTCACGTGATCGTCTGTGTGGTCATTATTCTATGTGGAGAAGCAAAGGTACATGACTATAAAGACTCACAATATTTTCCATTTTGTTATCTCTTAAACCAAAGTATATACATATCTTGGGTTTTTGTTTTGCTAAAAATATACATATCTTGGGTTAATTCTGAAGATGTTCGTACCATGCTATTGATAATAGTTACACTATTGGAGGCAGTGGGACAAATCCATCATAGAGAACGATCGTTACATAAACGAAGAGGGTACGTCATTCTTTCTATTAAATCTTGTCCTTTTTCCTAATTAATCTTGAGGGCACAAAGACTGATTCATGGACTGAATCGACAAGCAATGTGGAAAACAATTATCAAATGCTTTGAATGCGCCTCACTCGTTTATACATCTACGAGAGTTTGTTTCAGAATTATATACCAATTTTATGGATCGATCTTTTGACTAATATGAGGTATTTATATTGGAGAGTTGCAGATCGTCGCAGTAAGCTAATCCAGCTTGCCAAAAATGATGGTCGGTTTTTCGATGGAGGCAAAAGATTAGCAGTAATTGGCTGGTTGGTAAGTGTTGTGTGTTTTTAAAACAAGAAGTTATTCAATAATCTATATATTAGTGGACCACTATCATCTCAACCATTAATTATTTTAATACTATTATGAGACTCGCATGATGTATAGATTATACAATATTTTTTCCTCTTCCGCTATTCCCTTTAAACGCTTTATTGTCAAGTAATCCTAGAGTAAAATCTTTCAGTACCTTTCAATCAATCGCAACCTTTGCTTGAGATAGAGACAACCTTAAGATCTTTCCGTACTTAGATTGAACTTGCAATGGATGTTTGAAATTATATCTCGCTTACTTAAGAAGATTTACTCTTAAAGTTTATATAAATTAGTTACGTAAGGTAGATCTTCACTAGGAAAAATATGTCGGGACTACACCAATTTTCTTCTTGGAGTATTATCTACACAAGTCAACTAATAATGCTTCTACATTAGTGACATATGGTCAAACCCAATACACCTATTAGATTTACCCATTACAACCTCTTTACGAATTAACAAATAGAGTCAACGCCTGCAATCTAGCTCCATCACCAATTTTTAAAGTACTTAATCAACTTTCTAGTCTCTGCTAAGTACTAGCAATTTGTCTTGTAGCATTTTTTTTAATTAACCACTATAAATGTTACAAATCAACATAACTTCTAACAAGTCAACATGACGAACGACCAAATGGAGGAATGACGGGAATAATTGGATTAGGTCTCCTTTTTGTGTATTAACTCATCAATATATTAAGTCGCTAATTAAAATTAGAGGCCTCGGGGGCAGTGACTTAGTCCCGCATTGCTTGAGTGTGCGCAAATAGTGTTGTATAGACGTCTGATTCCACGGAAGGCGAGGCTGTCTAAACCTCTCCTTTTGGCATGCCTTGAACCTCTGCATACACATCGCTCATTTGCACCAGGATTAAGGTATTTGTGAGGACTTACTTCCTTGTGACCTGACTATAAGATATTTCACCGAATAGGTTTCGCAACTAAGACCTCACAGATGATGGGCTGATATCCGCGAATGTGAAAACAAACATGCCATGCCGTACTTGCAATTTCCGAGACTCGACAAGCAGAGAAAATATTGTTTGTGTGTTGTATGTGTACTCAAATGCATTTGAGCCGTCAGACCTGATGGGTGTCACTAGATTTCATTTCCATGAACTGCTTAGTATATCTAGCACACTCAAACTTGTTCCATCTTCCCCTATACCCTAGTCAGTGTAGAAAGCAATACCTTAAAGCTCCTTTCCGAGGAATGAAGCTTTTGATAAGACATGATGAGATTGTCTCTGAACAATTCCTGCTCTTCTGCAGCATATACTTGGCAAACACTTTTTTCCATCCGTGACTAAGTTGGAGTATATTGCGATCCGCCTGAATTGCATCAAGGTAGGAAATTCTGACCGTGCTTCTCTATTTCTCCTTTAATTTAATTGGCTTGTTTCTTCCACCATCTTCACAGGCCCATAATTTGAAAAATCCCAACGACGATTTTCAGGAGTACATAATCCGTGGCGTGCAAAAGGATTTCGACAAAGTTGTTGGAATCAGGTGAACGATACTGCTTTGTCTCTATTCATAGAAATGTTTGCCTTCACGAAGAACTATTAGTATCTTCTGCAATTAATAGTGTTTCATTACGAAAAATATCCCCAAAAAATATTCAGTGGGTGTCTTCAGGCATACTGATTTCTCAGTTCTTATCAATGCAGTTGGCATCTGTGGTTCTTCGTGGTGTTTTTCTTGCTCCTGAATGTTGCTGGTGAGTGATTCGGGCATGAAATGTGTTACTTTGTACATTTCTAGTATCTCTCTTCCTAATTCATTAGAGTGTTACGTGAAGTTCAAGTATCTCTCTTTCTTTGAGCGATGTTATGTATACCAAGACCGATCTACAAAAATGATTTTTAAGTGATGTGGTAGTGGACATTTAAATAAGTGGCTTATATGAGTACTAATAACAGTTTGTCACATCACTTAATTGAGCAATTTTGTAAAACAGCCTCAGTATTTACCTAGCATTTCTCTCCTTGTTTGCCTTTAAGGTGTCATATACTATTATTTTCAAAGAAAGACATCATATGAATCTGTCTTGGATATTTTTTCATTGCAGGATGGAACACCTACTTTTGGATCTCTTTCCTTCCATTGACTGTGAGTGTAGGGGTGAAAAGTCGTCCTTTTTAAGTTGTTGCGTTTTGCAAAAGTAAAGGTTATATGTAATATTATTCAATCTCTACCCTATCTTGGGTCGACGGTCAAACTATGGCGGAATATGACGTAAATGCAATTTCATTGGCTTGTCCATCAAGAACAAATATTGATATAAGGATAGCTATTAATTAGTAGGAGGAGGAGGATTGACACGGGCTTGTCCTAATAACAAATTATAATCAAGACATACATAAGAATTAAACCATGTAACCCTTTTGCTTGTACTCAAAGACAGCATTTTGCTCATCGAGGGATCCGTTCAAGATCATGTCGAGACTTATTTGGTGGAAACAATATGTTTCTTTCTTTCCTTTTCGCAGCTTCTGCTAGTTGTCGGCGCAAAATTGGAGCACGTAGTAACACAGAAAACAAAAAGGATCACCGAGAAGTATGATTCAAGTGCAGGGGCATCGATATCGACAGTTACCGCTGTTGAGTTTTCAGATGACGATTTCTGGTTCCATAAGCCGCACCTCATCCTTGACTTGATTCACATCATGCTATTCCAAAACTCTTTCGAACTTGCTTTTTTCTTCTTTATATTGGTGAGCATTTATTTCTCAAACTTCTGTTTGTATTGGTTACGTGAAAATCAGTTCCTAACACACGTGCGAAAAGAGGACTAATGCCTGCATCTTTCCTTACAGTTCGAATATGATTTTAACTCATGCATTATGGGAGAGGTTGGCTATGTCATCCCGAGACTTGTCATAGGGTAAGAATGATACTCATCTCTTCAATCTGTACATCATATAAGATCGACAATCAAAGACCTATAATCGCTAACTGGTCCAATTGTGTTGTTTAGATTGTTCGTCCAGTTCGTGTGCAGCTATAGGACACTGCCACTATATGCCATTATGAAATCACAGGTAAATAAGTTGAGTTACTGCAACTGACAATGACATATGTGCGAGTCACCTATGTGTTCTCTTTAATTGGGTTCAAATACGGGACTGAAGGTGCAATATTTTCTTTTGTTTGCGTCTTGATGAATTACAAAGATGAGTCAGAAGCACGATCACTCGAAAAAAGAGAGAGAAATGAAGGTTGTGACTTGGATTTGGGACTGGATTGAGAGAGATTCAGGGAAGGTTGCATATAGTAATGAATCAACCCAAGCGGGTTCAAGAGAGGGACTAGCGGCAAATGAGCAGACAAAAGCTGGTGAAACTGAGTCAGAGATGGAAGCAGACATTGAAGCACAAGATGGAACCAAGCCTGCATGTACATTAAAACCAGGAGAGCAGCGATTGGTTTAGTCGTATAAGTTCGGCTCCTTTTCTTTCCTTCCGTGGTACTAAGCCAACGATGAGACCATGATTCATCTTCATCTTCTTCTGTCAAGTCGTCCAACTTTGAATTACCATTGTCATTTATTAGGGTTTCACATGGGGCGATAGTCCTGGAATCGATCGCCGGACGCTTGATGAAGCCGTGAATAAGGATGAACCCTTGAGGGCTTGGTTGGTGTCGCCGCAAAAGTGTAGATCAGAACCAGAATTTCATTAAGATTACCAAACTGTCGCATACATAGGTTTTCTAAGGTTTGGCCTATCTGTAAATAATAAGAAAGTTGAGTAGAATGGAGGTTTATGGTTGAGCCACATCATCACAAAGCTCTATCTCCTTTCACTTTCCTTCACATTACTTAGAATACATTGTCTTTTACATTAATTAGATAATAACGCTTATTAAAAATAATAAAAAAAGCTGAGTAGAATGGAGTTTTTTGTTGAACCACGTCTTCACCGTACTCCCTCCCCTTCCCTTCCCTTCACATTACTTGGAAACCATTATATTTTACATTAATTAGATTTTAAAAAAAAAGCTTAACTATTCCACATTTTTGCTCGTAGGAAAATATAATGGACTCATGCAATATATTTAGAGGTCCGTAGGAATTAATTATATATGTTGCAAAATATGTAATTGCTTAATTATATATCTTGACTTATAAAAAATACAAATTGATCGACAAAAAGTTAAATAACATTAAAAAAAATAGTTAACGGTGTTTACTTAGAAACCATTAACTATTACGTTTATTAAGACAAAATGGTTTACTTTTTCAACTTTTACTTAAAATTTTTTTTTTGGTCGGTAACTTTTACTTTAACGCTTTCTAACTTTTACTTAAATTTAGAAAGCGTTAACTTTTACTATTTATATTCACTATTACCAAACTACTAGTTAATGACTAAAAAAGATTCGACAAAAAAAAAAGACTAAAAATGTCACGCCCCGAACCCCAATGGCTCGCGACACCCCTTCAACGATCGTATTGAACACGACGTCCCAGGACGCGTCGCCGACCTAAACGAACTACGCAAGCGGAAGCGAAATAAAACAACCCAGACAACTAACCTGATGACAAAAGGATAGCACGAAACAATAATTGCATAACATCATAAAGCAGTCACTATTACAAAACGATAACCCAATGCTACCAATTTCAAACCACAATTTTCAAAAAGGGGCGGTGGTTGATAATCTTATCTCCTCTACAAAAAGGTACTCAAAAAACAGGGTAAATTTGATCTATCCTTCAATCCCTGTGGTACTCTGGCGGCCTCTCCGAATCGATCACGGTCGCGGATCTGAAAGTGGTTATACAATAACCGTGAGAACGAGTCTCAATAAGCAACACCCTAAACCCCACGTAGGCCAATGCGTATCCAGACAAGTCGTACAAGCAATCTAACCCTCAACACAGAGAATTCACGTCATTGTACTTACCTCGCCATCAAACGCATGCTATGCACGTTAGTTAAACGTGATAATGCAATATTAATAGCATAATAATACTCAAGCACCAACCACACTAACACTCAATCAATCCAACCAATTCAATCACACATTCAATCAGCAAGTCCAATCAGTTCAATCAATTCAATCACACTTAACTCGCATGCGTGGCTGAACAACTTTCCACGACCTCCCAGGTCCTTTCACACTGCCCGCGCCACTGCGTCTCAGGCCCAATCTCACAGCCCGCGCCACTGCGCCTCAGGCTCAGCCCTCAGATCAAGCCGGGCTCGGTCCCGCGTAACCACGCCTCAGGACATTTTTCCCCTTCCAATGACCCGCGTAACCTACGCCTCAGGTCCGGTCATGCCTTTCTCGCCACACCCGCGTAACTACGCCTCAGGTTGGCAGCCCTCCGATCAATCCGGGCTTTTCTCATGCACATGCACCACAACACAATTCGCAATTCTCACAAGTCGTACCAATCAAACTCAAGGCATGCTCACCACAATATTCCACCAACCTAACCTTCAAGTCGGTCACAATCAGCTATCAATTCCACTCACAACCGCCACGATAAGCCAATCATTGACTCACCAACAATAGCCACAAATATGCACCCACAATCGTCCCAATTCCAAATCACAATCTCACGATCCGACATTCAAGCCGGCCACAATCACACGTCAATTTTCCCCACACACGCCACGACAATACGGATATTTAACCCACCATAATTAGCCACTAATTAAGCCCCACAATTATCACAATTTAATTTAACAAATACGCACATACGAATATTGACCCTAATCCACGTTTAGCCACTAAACCGGTACTAATCACGTCCTAAACAAGTCTAAAAATACCCATAGTCCTAAATAAGGATTAGGAGGTCACTTACTTGGTTTTGGCCCGGAGAAAATCGGCTCGGGCCTAAAATGGCCCGGGTGAACAGTGCCGAACTAGGCGCGGGCGCGGGCCAACGGGCGCGCTGGCCGGCCAACACGGGCACGGTGGCCGATCGGCGTGCCTGGCGCGCGGGCGCGGTGGCCGAACGGCGTGCCCGGGGCGCACGGGCGAGCCGGACGGCCGAGGCGCCTGGTTGGACGGCCGAGGCGCCGGGCGGTGGCCTAGGCGAGCTCGGCCACGGCCTGGGCTGGCCTGGGCTGCTCGGCCACGGCCCGGGGCTAGCCGGCGGGGCTGGCTGGCTGGCCGGCCGGGGCTGCGGCGGCGACGGCGACGCAGCGGTGACGAGCTGGAGGGGAAGGAAAGGTGAGCCGGAGAGAGAGAGAGAGAGATCGGGGCTGAGGGAGAGGGGCGAACCGGCGGCGACTGGCTGGGCGACGGTGCTAGGCGAGCGGCCGGACGAGCTGGCCGGCGGCTGGCGGAGCTCGGCCGCGGCGAACGCAGCGGCGAGCTGCTGCTCGCGCAGAGGAGAGAGAGAGGACAGCCGGTCAGGGTGGTGGCTGGCGGACGGCGCGACGGCGGTCAGGCGACGGCCGCGACGGCGACGTGGCTGGAGGCGAGCTCGGTCGGCGTCGGCTGGGGCGAGCAGAAGCAGGAGCAGAAGCAGTTGCGGGAGGAAGAAGGAAGAAGAAGAAGAAAGGAGAGAGAAAGGAGAAGAAGAGAGAGAGGAGAGAGAGAAGGTCTGACAGGAGGGGGAAAAATGCCCGTGAAGGGACACGTGCATGGGGGGCTAACGTGCGCGGCAGAGACAGAGGAGAGAGAGAAAGAAAGAGGGAGGGAGAGAGAGAAAGTCAAAGGTGATTATCGCGATCCAATGGTCACAGTTCGAACTCGAAAATAATCTAACGGTCCACGAAAATCCTAATTAATAATATAAGAAAAAGGGGCAAAAGAAAATAACTCAAAACACACTACGAGAGAGGTCTATTAGTCTAAATTCGCACCCGATCAAAAATCTATTTTTCACATATCCCGGGTAATCTCGAGGCTGGCCACAATAATATCGACACCGTCCAATTAAATTCGTCCCGGAACTCCCAGAAATTCGACACCAAAGTTTGGGCTCTAAATAACGGTAAAATTCGATCGAATGCGATTCTAGCGAAATCTCAAATTTAAAAACAATAACCGGGAGTGATCAGTTCCCGGGCGAGATTTTACTATAAGCACACTGACGAATTACACGTTTTATAAATCCCAACTATGGCCGAAATTCAGAATGTCACAAAAAAAAAAGGAGATTCGATATCTTCGAATTCCACGTGGAGTTGCTAGTAACCACTTCCCAAAAGTGGTACAATGTACTCTAGAACCACAGCTATGAACAACAACAGTATAACCATACCAAAATTGTTATACCAAGTTGATTTATTAAATTATGTCACAAGTTATAAGAGGACATTCAAAGATGTGAATCATATTAAACAACCAATGAGAAGTCATGGACTCATTGCATCAAGTTGTAAATCAATTTTTAGACATGCGGTCTACTAACTATACCTAGAACTTGCTATGTATATAGTAATTCCTAGCGATAATTATCATCTACCTCATTGATTGATTGAATTGCGTGAATTTTGGAATGAGCTAAGCTAAAACTTAATAAGAAAAACCTAATTTTCGAATCGAGGCAACGGACTTTATTTGTTTAAGTCTCAAGAGGGAGCATAGAATTATTCCTTCATTGACTTCAGGTTTTGTTCAGATGAATAATGTCTTTCTTTAACATTGTATTTTCTTCCTTTTCTCAGCAAGCTCTGCATGTACTTTGGTGTGAAATTGCGATTGACCCTTTGCAAAATCAAAATACTACTTGTAGGAAGAATTTGCGATTTAGGACAATAGGCATGGGGATCATAGAATTGCAAAAGACTAGAACATTAAGGAACTACCGGATGGACCGGGAACATCCGTCTATATAAATCCGGACCAATCAACACTGTAGGATTCAACCGTTTCAGACTCAGGCCCACCAAAATCAAACGGTCAAAATACATTCATGACGCACGCATGTCGCATGAGGTCCACTCCAAAAATGTTTGCCTGGAAAAGATATGGATAGGGTCGGTATATGAATGATGTAGTGGACAAAATCAATAACAGTTTATCAATTATATGAGAAATGTTTGTTCTTTAAGTGGGTCTTGTTAGTGGGAATTCCTAAAACGTGCAAGATTAGAGCAGAATAAAATGGAGCTGAGGATGTTATCTACCGAGTACGAACATCCTTTCGCCCATATCGATCAAGCAAATGACTCCAAGGCAATAAGAGATTACTTTCTGTCAACGTGGGACGCCAACTTGCCACTTCTTCATATTCCATCTTGTCTCAAAATCCAACTTCATCATCAGTTAAGAATCGAGGAGTTTGCACATGCTGAGTTGCCACAAGAGAGAGGATGGCGGAGGCAAGAGTCGAGGGGACAACGTTAGAGTTCACGCCGACACGGGTGGTGGCTGTAGTTTGTTGCATCATAGAGGTGATCTCTTTCCTTGTGAAAGGTCCCTTCATTGGGCCGGCGAGGCAGCTAATTGCATTTTGTTCCTTGACATATCCAACGTTGTGCTGTACTCTCTCGAAAGACATTGTTCATGGTAAAGTAAGTGACTCTGCAGTTTGTCAAATATCGCAGAAACTCCGAGAAACAGCAGAAGCGTCTCCTTGATGCCTTGCAAAAGATCAAAGAAGGTGAGAGCAGACAGGAAAAGTAAAGAAAATGACCTATGTACTAACGCGGCACAAAATGACACATTGCGTTTTCAGAGTTCTGGGCATGAATGTATTGCAGTGGCTTGGAGGTTTGATGCTACTGGGTTTCATATTGCTGCTCCTGGCGGTGTTCCAAACAGGAATTGGGAAGATTTGCAAGTTGCCAGCGCTTGCTGACAGGTTGCTTCCTTGCAGGAAGTAGGACAATTCTTGCAGTGGAACTGGCGGAGGATGACGCTGTCTTCTCGTCGAAGCCTATCTTGCAACCGATTATTGTGTTCAAATGGTCTATCGTGCATTGGAAAACTATTTTAGCAGAGACACAAAAGCGATTAAAAGGTTTTATGATCTGAATGCGTTCTGAACATATAGTTTAGGACTTTCGGTCGTGCCGGTATCTTGAATTGCTGTGGCTTTTTGTGTTTTATCCTTTCCTTTTTCGGGGGAAGGTGCCATTGTTATCATTTACGGCATTACAGCATCTACACATTTTCATCTTTGTGCTCTAGGCAGTCCACGTAATTGTCTCTGTTTCCGCGATTCTCTGTGTAGAAACAAAGGCACGGCTTTACTGTTGCTTCATTTGGCAAGATTCGGCCTCCTAATTTCCCAAAATTCTTATAGGATTAATACTGCAATGTCATACATTTGACTACATAAATGCGCTCTTAGATATGGCAATGGAGGCGGCGGGAGGCTGCTAAGATCCGAAAGGATGAATAGTACAAGCTTGAAGATTGCAAGTCTGTTATTGTCCAGAAAAAAAAAAGATACCATTGGCAACTCGGATCTTCTGTTCTTAAGATGCCCTTCTTACCTCATCAAAAGACTACTCTTCTTGTAGGTAGGGGATAAAGATTGTTTTATCTCACTTAGTGAACATAAACAGAAAGTTAATTTCCTAGTTTGCTACCTGAAGCCAGCAATGAAACGGCGGAAACCGGCAGTGTTTCAGCTGGAGTTCTAGCAAATTATTGGTTAGAGACATCAAAGACGCGTATATCAGAATGAATCTCGCAATTATCCGAAGCATTTGAAGATGCATTCACAAGCGAGTCCATTCCAAAACCTGAATGCACATCCCACGCAAAGTCATGTCTTTCGAAACTTCCCTAGTGATTCAGCATTAGAAGTTGAAGAATCCATAATGACTTAAATCACTAGTATTCTGTATGAACCCCTGTTCTGTTCAGAGTCAGTTAACGATTACAACTATTGACCTGTTCTTGGGTACTTCTTGCAGGGTCTAATGCGTAGTTTCGGTTGTCGTTTGTGCCATTGATCGTAAGTAGCCATAAAGATCCTCAAGCTTTCTTAAGTTTGCAAAGTTTCAGGCATCATATGTTTATGCCATCTCTGTTTTATCTTGGACCGCTCGAATCAGTGGAGCACAGAGCAGATTGCAAAGCCGAGTTAAGCTTCTCAGATGATGATTACACTATCGTTAGATAAATCTATAAGAGAGGAACGGGACTTGTACTTGCTAACACGACATTGAATCCGTGATTTAGATGATAGCCAATTTTGGTGTAACTAAATTGCTGCAAAGTGGAGATTGCTCCGGTACCGAATGAAATTCAACTGCCAAAGAGACATTTTAGGATGATTATCATAGCTACATAAGGAGTTTTTTTGGTTCTTTTAAATGCTTCTATGGGAATAAAGTTAGCACTTCAGCAGGAATTGGTCGGTTCCCCACGCTAGAGTCCAAAAGAAATCTGGTTGAAAAAAACATGAATCTTGCTCTTATGCAGCTTTTGCTCGCTGTTGGCACCAAACCGGAACGTGTAACGGCACAGCTGGTAAAAGAGGTTGCTCGGACGCATGGGGCCGCCGCCAGGGACTTGATGATTGACCCCTCAGATGAAGACTTTTGGTTCCATGGGGCTCGGCTCATCCTCCGCTCGATTCGCATCGCACTCTTCCAATCCTCTTTTGAACAGGCCTCCTCCTTATTTGTATTGGTGAGTATAAACCGGCACGCGATAAACTTTTCTATTGCAGAGTTGTCCCCTTAACACTTGCATGCCAAACTAATGCTCCCCGTCGAGCTCCAGTTCCAGTATAATTTCGGCTCTTTCCACCATGGGAAAGGTCAGTTCTATTGTCGCGGGACTTGTGATAGGGTGAGCGTGATTTGTATCTATTCGATCCTTATTCTTATACAGGACCAATCTTTGAGGCCCAGCACTTATCTGTTCAAGCGTTCTGGATAGAGCATTTGTCCTGTTCCGCTGTAATAACAGCACACTACCGCTATATGCCGTCCTGAAAACTCAGGTATGTTCGGGTTACGACTGTTATGTGTTGATATGATGTCGGAGCTAAAAATATGGGATTGACGAAGATGCCTGCTTTTGCTTTTATTGGTTCATCAAGATGGGTGAGCACAGGACCATTACCATTGAAGAACATGAACGAGAGAGCATTCTTCCATGTCATGCTCGAGGAGCGAAAAGGAATGAGGAGTTCAGGAGAAGTGGCTTATAATGAAGGCGCTATGGGTTCGGAGGAGGCGCATGGGAGAGCTGAGCAAACACGGGTCGGGCCAATCAGAAGGAATCCGGCCAGTTTTGGGAGCACGTAGCAGAAGCCCGATACCTTGGTCCGGGGAGACTGTTAAGATGGAGTCCAAGTCCATGCCCGTCAACATATCTAGTTGGACCCATATTTACTCAAAAATTTATACTACTGAGTTATGGGCCAACTTAGATATATTAACTGCCCCAAACCATACTAGTTCTCCGACGTGGGACTTCTCTAACATAAATCACATGTGTATCTCAATAATCTCCTTTTCACGTGTGAGCTTGGTGTTAGATCTGCTTCCACTTAATTTAAGTATTCATCTGCACCAACATATCTCCATAGGTCTGCTCTCCTTTAATTTAAGTATCTATCTGCACCAACACATCTCAATTTGAATCTCAATCAACGGCCACCTTTATCCTTGGTCTCTTTCTCCAAATCGAACCATGAAAGCTATTGCAACACCACTACAACGCCCACCGCTCGAAAACCACATTGGTTAGTAGATTCCTCTTTTGAGATATTCACCAAATACCAATACACATTGAGAGTGGGCCACCAATCAATCATCGGCCCTGATAGCAAACGTTAGGATTAGGCGCACAAATATAATGAAATAGAGAGTAAAGATAAAACAAAAAAAGAAATCGATGCACAAGATTTATCCTGATTCACCCTTAAACTAGGATTACATCTACCAGATGATTCCACTATAATTTGCACCTCTCGCTCCTATATACAATCTCTCTCTCTTGTAATTGAGTGTTGTAATAAAGAGATCAGGGATGCTAACTATAGTAGAATCGTCTGCTGGATGTAACCCTAGTTTAAAGGCAAAACAGGATAAACCTTGTATCTCGATTTCTCTTTCTCGCATTTACTCTATATTTCGTTGTGTTTGTGCATTTAATCCTAACATTTGACGATTGTTGAAATGCACGTGTGAGTTGTATTAAAGAAGTCTCATATCGGAGAATTGATATGATATGAAGCAGTTAATATATCCAAATTGACCCATAATTCATTGGTTTAAGCTTTTGAGAGAAAGTGGATCCCATTGGATATGTTGATCGGCTTAGACTGGGGCTCCCTCTTGGCAATCTCCCCAAGCGAAAGGTATCTAGCTTTTGTTGCATACTCTCAATAGCAAGAAAACACTGAAGCAAAAGAAATGTGCAAGGATTGGTATATGAACCGGCAACAAAGGAAACTAAAGATAACAACAATTTGTCATCCTAAACTAAAATTCAATGGGTGCTTGTTGGGTGCTTAATCATGCCTAGGTCGTTTTATAAATCATCTCCTTAAATCAGTTTCGATGCCACAATCATGCGCACATGTCTCTTGTGCAATGTTCCTTCATCTTCATAGGGACGGGTTCTTTTAAACCTAGTGGGCAGCATGTGCACTAGGTTCATGCAAGCCATCACATTATATGAGTCACACGTGAGTATCATCAAATCAATCGGCACCCATGCAATCAGCTCACGTCAGCTTGGTGCATGGAATAATGAGAACGAGACCTACTCGGCTCATTTAGCTATGTCATCCATGAATAAGAAAGTCTATAATATTTGGACTTTTTGACAAAAAAATAAAAAAAAATAAAAAGAGTTTGAAAAGTCAACAAAAGAAAGAAAGTGGAGTTGCCCTATAAAAGGAAAAGCAAGGGAGAGTGGCCGACAGCTCGCTCGTGCAGGAAAAGAAAGGAAAGGGAAAGAAGAAATAGGGGTTGAAAAGTCACACTTAGTGAGGATTAATTGAGTATTCAAATTGAAAAAAAAAATTCTCATTTGTACTAACGAAAAAAAAATGATTACTTTTGTAAAACAAAAAAATAGACTATTCCTTGCGTACGGTATAAGTTCTTTGATTTATTCATGTAATGCTGATTAGTTAATTTACTTGTGCATTTTATGTAAAAAAACGACCAGGATGAGACCAATTGACATAGAATAGTTCAAAAGTTGAACTCATATGTGAAGCAGTTAATAGTCATGTCAAGCCAGTTCACAGGGTTTTAATACAAAAATAATATATTAGTATATATATCACTTGGTCTTATTGCCTATATGAAACTATTTCACTTAGATTTTGATTCACGCGTAAAAGTATAGCTTTGAAATGGACCATGCTAGTTTGAGATGGTATAACGGTTACCTATCAACGGAATAGTGCTGCATCCCCAACATCCGTACCCTTATTTAATAGAGCAAGCAACCCTAGCCAACCTTCTGTTAGAACGATATTTGTACACACATGATTTTAGAACATGTCATCTTGGTTGGTAGAATATATTTATGTTTATATTAACGCCTCTATATAAAATATTTAAATCAAGTGAACTAATTGACACATATTTGCTATCATCATTTCCAAAGATTAGTATATTTAATTTTTTTTTTTATAAATAAGTCAATAAACTTTATATCTAACTTTCTCATATAGAAAGTTATGTGAAACAAACCGGTGAAGGAGGTTATCAGTTTTTTAGTTTTTTTGGTCGGAAGGAGGTTATCAGGTTACAAAAGTCAAATTTTTTAGGCCAAAAAAAAGGATAGCTTGCGAATATCTTTTTTCAATTGTATCTCCTCGATGTCCCACAAAAAGTCAATAGCAAGTCATTTTTTAGGCCGAAAAAATCGACAGCTAGTAATTTTTTTTTTTAGTAATCCTAGTATACACCATCAATATAAAAATAACTTTACACAAACGATTTTAGTGACCCTTGAATTGATGAGTGGTGATAGAGTGGGTGGTTAACACCTTCAAATCAAAAGAGTTAATTGATAGACTCGATTTATGTTTACCAGAACGTGGATCCCGCACCTTCGATGGCTGTGAGCCTACAATAATTTTGATCTACATAGATTGAGTCTTTGTAATATTTTTCCTTCATATTGAGAGTGGATAAGACCGTTCGTGTAATGTTTTCTTTACACTGACTGTTTATTGTATAATTTACGATATTATTTTGGTTGTAACAAAATAAGCTACAAAAATTGACTTATTAAAATTCTTATCAAGAAATGGTCAACTAATTGATATTTATCTATAAATTCACCGTAGAAAAAGTTCAGAAACTAAAGTTAATGCAACACACTCCTGACCACCGAGGCCTGAATAACCACATCGATACTTTTTTTTTTCTATTTTCGAAATTTTGAGCATAGATAATGTGGGAGAAAAATACTGGCTTCATTACATTTCCCTAAAGACTATCGCTTGTATCACTTACACATATGAATAAACAAAAAATATTTTCTTCGTCCATGAAAATATTTAGACATAAATTGTTATGAATAATAAAAATATTTTTCATTGACTAATTATTTAAAATTATACAAGCGATTATTTTTAGGAAAATATTTTCTAAATCATTAATTTTTCGCAAAACAAATGGACCCTTAAGAAAATTTAGTTTCTCTTGTTAGGGATAAAATTGGAGTCAACAAGAGGTAATACCATGCCACATCTAGCATTGTATAAGACTCCACCTGTAAAATGGTGAGAGTAGTCTTGAGATTTTTCCAAGTGAGAAACATTGGGCTCCGAATATGACTCTGTTGTATTTTAACCAAACTTGTATCGATTTAGCCAATCGTTGGATTTGTTAATTCTCGATTTGGATGTTTACATGGTATTTTGCAGAACTATTGAGTTTTTCTACTAAGTTGATCTATCTTGGATTGATGTAAAATCATTGAATACATCGAAAAGAGTACTCTATTCACGATTATAAAATTTGAAGCATCTTCTTAGTCAAGTTTTTCAACTTCGAAAGTTCGAGGAGAGGCAACTAGCACAATTACCTCAATTGAACGTAAGCCATACATAAGTATAAATTTGGCCGGTCAAGTTCTCAATTTTAAGTTGGTTGAAGATAATTTTATAATCCTGATATGGAGGATAACCTACTTATCCTATACAAGCATATTCATATGATTTTTTAACATCTTATTTATCAATAATATGAAGTGTGTTATTTGATTTCATTAAATTAATCATGAATACTAAATTTTCATAGTTACATATGGATATTCATGTAGAATTATTATCGATTTGATAATAAAGCATCAACCCGACACAAAGGTGCATCATCATGCGTGAGAAACTTTTGCTGTCATTTAATGCGTGTTGTTCTGTAAATCTTTTCCAGATTCTTTTACAAACCTTTATATGAAGAGGGAAAAAGGTTAGGAAACCTGTCGCCACTTGCTTTGGTGGGAGATAGACACGCCTTTTTGGAGCGTCCCACTTATATCGACTGCACTTTGGCTTTGGCTTTGGCTTCTATCATCCACACGAAAGCGAAATTTTTTGTTTTTTACGATTTCTTTGGCTAAAGCAAACTTTTTGGTAGAATTATGTTATTGGTTGAATCAAGATCAGAATTGAGTGAAAGGACATTGTCATTATCTTGTGAAGTACGTAATAATGGATGAGTTCAACATTCATATAATAGAGGAACGAAAAATTCAAACAAAACAATAAATATAGCATTTGGCTCTATTTCGAATATGTGAAATAAATAGAACATTTGAAACTTCATCGTACTAAAACTCTCTCTTTAGATATTTCCCATTCTATTTTCACCCCTTGAAAAGAAAACAACCAAACACCACATTATTTTCCTCTTGTGGTAGACCTATTAATGGCTAGCTGGGTAGCTGCATTCGTGATCGGACTCATCTCACACAACCACGGCAATAAAAGTGCCCTACTTTCCCGTTTCGCCAAATGTTCCAGCATGATAGGTGTCAATCTTTTACTTCATGAAGACCGCCTTTAATATGCTACTTTCCCAAAAAGAAAACATTTGAATTTAAGAAAATGAGGTCAAGGACCACCCTCAAATGCGTTCATCTCCAAAAAAACTAACAAACAATTCTATATATGAGTAAGGATTTTTCGACATTTGAGGAGGGAAAATTACAAAAAAAAAAAAGTCATAAACCTATTGTATGGATGCCAATTCGAAGC